TGACACCAGTGATGTGTCAAATAAACTAAAAATAGAACTTTTTTTCTTAAACTGAAATATTTTTACATTGTTTTGTTGCACTTTTTATTTAGAGTATTTTTTAAATTGATATTGAAAACTTAGTTACTAATCAATCAACGCCAGTAATAATAGACGTGACTCAGAGGAGATGTTTATTACTTTATCACTACACAAATTATGTTTACACATTAACATTAATGTTTTTTTTCCATTTTTGTTTTTTTTTTCATTTTTGGGCCTTACATTGTTACATGCATACTTTTTATTTTGTAATCAATTTTTTGTTTTATATGTTTTTGTTTGGTGATATATTTGTTGTAAACCTTTGTTCATTTTAAGTTTTAATTAAAAAAATTTAATTTTTTATTATTGTAAGTACTGTTTGGGTGCATTGTCTGTCTTACACATTTTTAAATATTCTTCTATTAATCTTTTTTTTTTGTCTTGACAACTGTCAAAATAAGCTTTGTTCAAAAAATAATTCTCCTTTATTCTAATGTACTTCATTTTTCCCTCAGACGTTCACTGCTGGTGTTTGACCATTCAGCAAATTTATATGCCAAAGCATTGAAATAATAATAAAAAAAAAAGATAAGAAAAATTCAATTTTGTTAAGTTTTACAGATAATACTTTTTGACAACTCATTTTTTTTTTTCCTATAGATTTTTGACTCAAAAAAAAAATGTTTCTGGGTCATCGTACTGATGGCAAAATTATTTAAGATTTTTTAAAATTTAAATATATTTAAATTGATCGTATAAGAAAGGATTAACTAGTTTATGAGTAGATGAAGAAGTTATGAGAAGGTGAAGATATTGTGAAGAAAAAAAAAATTGTTAATAGTTTTTTTATTTTTAAACCACTAATAAAAACTGTAAAATAGTATGAAATTGTAAATATATGTATTTATAAACATATATTTAAAAGTAACAACAAGTGAACAAAAAAAACTTTAAAAAAAAAAAAATTTGCATAATCATTTTTCTTAGTTACATTTTTTCCATTCTAAGGCAATTTTAATGTGGTAGTGGTGTAGTGGTAGACCGCCTCATAAGCAAGAAGTTCCGAATTCGATGCTTACCACACTCCGGGTAGTACTGCGCTCAACTTGTGTCTCCATGCAACATTCTTGCTTGTCAAGGTTACAATTAAAATAACCTCCTCATCTATAGTGGCCTTCTCAGCTTAGGGGAGGTGAAGTAACCTTGTTATTGAAAAGACTTTTTTTATTTTAGTTAAAATTCATTTTCTTCCTTTTGTTGTAGACCAAAAAGTCAGCATAATATATGCTGCGATCTACAGACTTGATAATTTATTCAAGCAGGGATTGTTTTGTTTGTTTACATAATCGATCTTTTACACAAAATCACCTCAGGGATTGTTTTGTTTGTTTACATAATCGATCTTTTACACAAATAAAAAAATCAATGACATAATGTACTGAAACTCTTAGGAATAAAACGTGCTTGAATAAATTATCAAGTCTGTAGATTGCGGTGTATATTATGCTGACTTTTTGGCCTACAACAAAATGGAGAAGGCAAACTTTGGTTAAAATAAAGAAGTTAGTTTTTCTTGGTATGCATTTATTTTGTTTTAATCAAAAAAATTTAGCCAAATATTTTTTATATCATTCTCTTTGATATGAACACAACATGTCTCAGAGGTTTGGGATCCCTTTAAAGATATTAAGACTTTATATTATTTTTAATCTGGTTTCGAATTAAATTTAATTAAAATGCAGTACTTTCAAATAGGCAACTGACGTAATTTAATTTTAATGATATAAATATATATATTGAGTAACGTTACATTTACTTGCATTACGCTTTTCCATTACACAACAAAATCTCATAACAAGGCTTCGAATAGGCTTCATTTTCACATTTAATTTTTTTTTTAATTTCTAATTTGAATTATCAGAACTTGAGAAAATCAATTGAAACCAATCCAACCTATCAAAGCAGGAGTCGAAGCTCCGTAACATCTTAATTAAACAGTATAAAATTTTGTTACATCATTTCTTTAAAATGTTTCTTACTTATTTTTCTTGCAACCAAAGAATTTTTTTTTGAACATTTTAAATTCACCCTAATATGAGATGTTTTTTATACGTCTAAATACCTATTAATACTTGAAATTTGAATAGTATAAAAGAACTTTGGTCTACTATAGAATAGTTCAGTTTTTTTTTCCAAAATAAAGTTTATCATGACAAAGGGCAAAAAGGAACAAAAATGTTTAGGGTATTTTTCCACAAATTCCAAATGCCCTAACTTTTTGTATTTTAAGTTTGAACCATGCTCGGAAATCATCACGAACACAAATCTACACAAAAAAAACCAAAATCAACCAAGCACAAAAATCTGACTCAGACAAAATTAAAAGATTTTATAAACACCTCTAAATGTTCTCATAAAGTTTAAAAATTTTTTAAAAACACCTCTAAATGTACTCATAAGGTTTATATAATGCTTCTATAAAAAAATTTTTTGGTCCTTTCAAATGAGGTTGATTGTGAATTTGACAGAGTGTGTAACACTTAAAAACTTATTTGGTGTCAAAACTTAGTGGACCTTTAGTTAAAAAAAGCGAATTCAATATAAGGTTGCAAAAGATTGCAAATTGTATAAATCAGGAAAGCAAGATAAAGGAAGAGAATAATATATATATATATATATATATATATATATATATATATATATATATATATATATATATATATATATATATATATATATATATATATATTTATATATATATATATATATATATATATATATATATATATATATATATATATATATATATATATACATATATATATATATATACATATATATATATATATATATATATATATATATATATATATATATATATATATATATATATATATATATATATATATATATATATATATATATATATATATATATATATATATATATTGTTTAAGTGACATTGTTAATAATATATTTTATATTTAATTGATTAAAAACATTAAAAACATCATGTTCAGTTATATATTATTTTTATTAAATGGTGATATTTCAGCCTATATAATATAAAAAATACAACGCTTACAGTGCTCTAAATCACAGGAGTATATCTTAAATCGTGACAATGGTAACTTAGTGATGACACGCCATTGGAGACCACTTTTTGTTAAACTAAAGTCTAAATTTGCAACGTTGCAAGACATCATTTTTGTTTTTAGTTTTTATGAATTTTGTTTAACGTTTTTTTCAGTTTGATAATGGTTTATACTATATAAGCCGAAATATCACCATTTAATAATAAAAATAATATATAATCGAACATGATGTTTTTAATCAATTAAATATATATATATATATATATATATATATATATATATATATATATATATATATATATATATATATATATATATATATATATATATATATATATATATATTTATATATATCAGGCTTTCTCAGGAAACAAATCAAAGTTGCTGGTGTACAAAGAAAACCCACCCTCCAAAAATCAATTACTTGACTGAAAAACTCTCAATCCTGGGTACTATAAAAAAACCGCTGCAGAGCCTCTTGGTACACAACACTAAAAGTTCTTCCATATAAGGGATTTATATACACCATACACACATAATTTTATATATATTCATACACAATACTCATTTGAAAAGAACAATGCCCTTTTTACTAAGTTGACCACCACAAAATAAAAGAACCAAAAATGAATTAGTTACCACCAAAAAACAATATTTCCCCACCCGTTCCCCGCAGTAATATGCAAAGAGCAAACTGACCCCCCAAACTGACTCCCAGAACTGCAACCTCGCAAATGATGGGTTCACCTCAGCAACCTGGTAAAAACTGAGCTATGTGCGATTTCGGGTGATCCACCTCATTCATTAAAAATAATTAACAAAGAAATTTTTTAAAAACTGGTGGCACTTTTCCTGAGTGATTTTTCATAACATTCATGAAAGTTATCAAACCGAAAAAAGTTTTTTTGCAAGACCAAGAGCAACTGCAAAAAAATATTTTAGTTTTACATTTTTATTATTACTTAATTGAGTCATTGGTTTGTCAAAGTTTTTACTTACACTTCATACGTTTATGCCTATTGCTTTATTTTTATAAGGTTGAATTTTTAAAATGCTGCAAAGTATTTACATTTAAATCTTTTATTTACATCTATATGTCAACCAAAATAATAATACATAAACAAATAAATAAATAAAAAAATAATAATAATTTTAATGCACATAAAAAAAATTTTTTTCTTTCTTAATTCTCCTTATATAAAAAGTATTAGTTAAAACCTTGTCAAACCAACGGGAAGAAATAATAATTACTTAATGACGTAATTAATTTTGTAAATAAAAACTTAACGAAAAAGCGCCAGAATTTTATTAAATGCATAAAAACAAATTTAAAAAAAATATAAAAAATATATACACACACAGATATATATATATATATATATATATATATATATATATATATATATATATATATATATATATATATATAATATATATATATATATATTTATATATTACTTTTATCTTTTTATTTTGTTATTAATAATAAATATATATACATGCATTATTGTAAGGTTTTTATTTTCTCATAAGTAATTATAATGATAAATTATTAATAATAAAAAAAAACAATAAGATGACTAATTAGTTTGGTTTTTTCAGCGCGTTTTTAAAATACGTCATTTTTATTATATGCAAAAAAATTGTGGCCAAGTTATCAACAAAAAATATATATATGCGTGGTCATTCAAGGTGTGCGACCGCACGCGTCTCCTGAGAAAGCTTATATATATATATATATATATATTTATATATATATATTTATATATATACATATTTATATATATATATATTTATATATATATATATATTTAATAAATAAATATATATATATGCAAACATTTTTTAATAAAAATATTCATAATGTAGTAGAAAACTTACGGATAACATAAAAATAATAAATCTTCTATTGCACTTGTTTGCATAACATTAAAAAGTGACCAAAAGCACATTGCCATTATTAAAAGTAAAAGTGTTGCTTTCATACATACTCTAGACCAATATCCAAATGTATGAATTACTTCTGAAGCAAGAGTCTAATATCAAATTTAAAAGATTTATTGAGTATATTAAACATAAAAGATATTATGTATGCATAGTAAAAAAAAAACATAATTTTTATAAAGTTTTATGTATCCACAGTAAAAATTTTTTTTGTAAAGTTTAATAAAAAAATAAGTTTAATAAAACAATCATAAAGTACAGCATATAAAATATAAAAACATTCTCAATATATAAAACTTAAAATATTATTATTTTTATTTTTGTAAATTGTTATTATTTTACTGATAGTTATTATTATTATTTCTCTATTATTACATGCACTGCAAAAACAAAATCACAATCAAAATGATATCATCATGAAGATATAAAAGTTTTAAGTTTGTACCATGCTTGGAAATCATCACGAACACAAATCAACACAAAAAAATCCAAAATCAACCTGTTAAAACACAAAAATATGCAACACATTTTATGTACCTTGCAGAGTACATTAAACAGAGAATGCATCACACAAAAAGTAAATGTTACGAAATTAAACTAATATTATTATTATTTTTTTTTAAAACAAGACTTTAATGTCAATGAAAATTCCCAAAAGATAAGATCATTAATGAAAATTAATAAAAAACTATATTTAGCTATTTATTCCAGTGTTAGTACTTGAATAGAATTCCTTATCTTAAAAATTGTTCTCCCTCTCAAGAACACTTTGCCCCTAGTACTGCACTTGACTTTTTTTCTGTGCAGTGGTGATAAGGATGGCTCAATAAATAAATACAACTATAAAAGATTTAAAAAACCTTTTTTAAACAACATTTTTTAAACAATGTTTTTTTAAACAACATTTTTTAAACAATGTTTTTTTAAACAACATTTTTTAAACAATGTTTTTTTAAACAACATTTTTTAAACAATGTTTTTTTAAACAACATTTTTTAAACAATGTTTTTTTAAACAACATTTTTTAAACAATGTTTTTTTAAACAACATTTTTTAAACAATGTTTTTTTAAACAACATTTTTTAAACAATGTTTTTTTAAACAACATTTTTTAAACAATGTTTTTTTAAACAACATTTTTTAAACAATGTTTTTTTAAACAATGTTTTTTTAAACAACATTTTTTAAACAATGTTTTTTTAAACAACATTTTTTAAACAATGTTTTTTTAAACAAAATTTTGAAAGAATTTTTTTTTATTGCTCTTCTTCTTCATTTTTTTCAAAATTTTACAAGTGATACAAAATTTACGCACGATTTTTTTTCGAAATAAGAGTTTTAAATATTTTACACACCATTTTTTTTCGAAATACGAGTTTTAAATATTTTACACACGATTTTTTTTCGAAATAAGAGTTTTAAATATTTTACACACCATTTCTTTTCGAAATGCGAGTTTTAAATATTTTACACATGATTTTTTTTCGTAATGAGAGTTTTAAATATTTTACACACCATTTTTTTTCAAAATAAGAGTTTTAAATATTTTACACACCATTTTTTTTGTGATTTGTGCGCAAAATTGAATCGCAATATAAATATTTAAAAACTAATTTTGCATAATAAAGGTTAAACGCAATAAGTTGAATAGTTGCATACCTGAATATACAGGAAAAGTTAACTCAATAAGGTAACGCTATTGTTTAGGCAGGCAGTCGATTAAAGTCGATTTAAAGTTTTTTAATTTTTTTCAGTCTTTTAACTTACCTATTAATAATAATAACAAAAAATAATAATATTATGTTTGCTTAGTTCATACATAATTTTTTCCGTTTTTTAATGCTTTTCGCTTTTTTGCTTAAAGTTAAGAAATGAAAAGTCTTTATTATTATCATTTTTTTAATTTAACATTTTACAAAGACAACTACAATGCCAAGCCCTTTGGTAGCAAATCCAAAACTAAGGTAGGAAATCCAAAGCTAAGGTAGCAAATCCAAAGCTATCAAAAAATATCAGTTAGAACCAAGAATGCGGTATTTACAGCAGTATTTTCACCATTCATGGCTCACTATGTAAAAAGAGTCATAATTACAATAACTTTTGTTAAAAGAGTCATAATAATTTCTGTTAATATTGTGAACTTGGTTTTTTGGATACAGTTTAGCGATTTTTTTATCTACACATTATCCTAACCACAAATAATTACATCGATAAAAGTTAAATAACAGCAGTTGGGATTTCAAAGTATAAATTTTAAAGTTTTTATGTATTTAAATTTAGTATCAGGTCAGTTTATCCTGCTACTCAGAGAGACTGATTCCATCAACAGTTGCAAAATATCAGAGTACTAACAGTGCTATGTTGCACATAGATGGTGTCCCTATTCATAATTTGTGTGCATTGTTGAAGCCACATTTGGAGCCCTTTGATACAGCTTAGGGTTTATCAGTTGTAATGAGGCAATCGCTTAGGCTTTTAAATAGTGCACTGAGTACTATCTATGATTTGAGTCAAGTTCTTTAACAAACTTAAATATGTTATTAAATATTCAAAAAAAAAAAAAAAAATTGAAAACGCGTATACACAAGAAGCCAAATTTGTGGCAAATACAAAAAAAAATATGATTACAAAAAAAATTCCAAAAATATAGATATTTACCTTGTGGATAGCAGCAAAATACCCAAAAAATGACCCAAATAGTTTCCAAATAATTTGGCTTTAAGTGCAAGGTCAAAAAGTATATATATATATATATATATATATATATATATATATATATATATATATATATATATATATATATATATATATATATACTTTTTTAATGCGGTCATAATAGTCCAATTTTTTTTTTTTAGTTTGTTGAGTATCCTGGTTTTTTCATAATTGTTGTTTAAATTTAAAAATAATTTTGCAAAAAAATAATTTTAACGCCCATTAACAAAATAATGCATAATAATTCTGCATTTATATGACTTTTAAACAATCACATTGTTCATCGTCTCAAAAAGACATTTAATTTTATTTTGAGTGCAAATAAAACAAAAAATAAGAGAATTAGATACTTATATAGTGCAGTAGATAATCTTACTAGAGATACTTTATATATATCTTTATTTATTGCTTGATGTTATATCGAATCAAAGTAATCCAATCTTTGATTCAAGATTTGATTCTTTTAGGAGTTTCATCACTCCATTGTACTAATCTTCCCAGATGAAGAGGCTAATGGCTTAACACCAAGAAGATGTGACTCTTCATCAATAGTCGCCAGAACAGCTAGCCTGTCATGCTTTAGTTTTTTCTATTATTGATTTCGAAAAGTATTTTTCTATCAAAATGAACAATGCATGGGTAGGGAGATGCTTGGATGCTAAGTGTGACATCTTCCTTAGCAATAACTGCCATTTCTTGAGCTGTTTGTTTCATCTTTCTATATACTGTTGACCTGCTGCAACTTACATTTGTAAGATCAATGCCAGAACTATCAAGGATTGCAGAAGTAACTTTTGTAAAAACATTTGGAGAAATATCAGTAATTGTAGCAATTAGGTCAACATTACCAGAAAAAATCTCTTAGAATCTCAGCTTTTTTGTAAGACTCCAAAGAACACTAATATCCGGGGTCATAATCTGAATCAAACAATGAATCATCAATCAGGTCTCTTGTTGGACTAAGTTCCAACTCTGAACTCTTGACTTTCACTTATTTTACAGCATTTTTTTTAGATAAATTTTTCTTGTATTCTCTAAAATTTAAACAACATACACATTGTTATAATTATTATTATTTAATGTTAATCTTTTTAAATTCCTTTATCAAAAGTTCGTCAAATTAAAAAAGATAATAATGTAAAAAGGTAATAAAGCAAAAATAGAAATCAATAGTGAAAAAAGTAGCAAAAAGTCATTTTTCAATTCTAAAGATGACATCCTGTGCATGTTTTTTTAATTTAAAAAATTAAATTTTTTAAATTAAAAAAACATATTAATTAAAGCTAAATAATTTAAAGAAATAATTTGTTAATTAATAAATAATTAATTAACAAATTATTTCTTTAAATTATTTAGCTTTTGAATCAAGCTGTTCTTTTTTATCTGATTGAAGAGGAAATGGCTGTAAGCCACGAACCCTTTATTTAGCTAAGAATACATTTACAATGCTGTTTAACAAATCTTTTATATTACCTGTCTTTTTTTACTGAACAAGCAAGTATTAAAGAATTTTTTGATGTTTTAGACTGATTAAAAGCTATGTGCTATAAAATATCCAATTCAGTTGGCAATTAATCAATAAAAAAAAACAAAAAAAAACTATCACTTTTTGTGACTCTTGCTTTTTCTATCAAACTTTGAATTATAACTTTAACAATATTTTTAGACTATATATATATATATATATATATATATATATATATATATATATATATATATATATATATATATATATAGTTTTTTAAAACTATATATATATATATATATATATATATAAATATATATATATATATATATATATATATATATATATATATATATATATATATGTATATATATATATATATATATATATATTGTTTTTTCCTTGAACATAAGTTCTTTGGAATTAGCTTTCTTCATCTTGCTTTCCTGATTTATATAATCTGCAATCTTTTAAGTTGTCTGTCAATCTTGCTCTATAAACTTTATCATTTCTTTTCCAGTTGGGTCATTCCATATAAGATGAGTCAATTTTTTGAAAATTTCCTGGGTGATTATCTCAGACTTTTTTGCAATTTACACCTCTCATAGCTTTTATGGAAAAAAAGATTTCAACTCATTATCTTGAAGCGTTCTAAATTTATGGCAATTTGAAAAATTAATGTCTTAACTTATTTCAAGCAACTCATTGTTTTTTTCAAATCTCATTTTTATTAAAGTCTCATTTTTAAATCCATATAAATAAAAAATTAAATAATTTAAATACTTAAAAACTGATGGCAGTAATCTACCTAAACTTTCAAAAAAAAAAAAATTTATTTTACGAAAATAAATATATTTGGTCATCTTGGACTTCAAAGTTATAAAAAAAAAATCACTTTAAAGAAAAAATTTC